TCTGGAGAGAGTTTGCTGCACTGAAAGTAAAGGGGCTGAATAATTTTGCACGCCCAATGTTTCAGTTTTTTATTTGTTAAAAACGTTTGAAATATCCAATAAATTTCGTTCCACTTCATGATTGTGTCCCACTTGTTGTTGATTCTTCACAAAAAATTACAGTTTTATATCTTTATGTTTGAAGCCTGAAATGTGGCAAAAGGTCGCAAAGTTCAAGGGGGCCGAATACTTTCGCAAGGCACTGTATTTGTATCTTCTATTAGTCATGTCATACATGCAGGAGGAATACTTATTTTGTCCACTTCCTAGTTCTGCTAAAGCTTCTGGGTGAGGGGTGGCTATACTTCCTCTGAACCCTGAACAGTTTCTGTCCTCAGGAAGGGATTTCCAAAAAAGTCAAGTTTGAAGAAATTTGAACTGGCACATAATTTATTTAAATTAATTTGAACACATTCAACATACTGTGTCCATTCATTCATGTGAAGCCATACAACTGGGCTGCACATCCTTACACATTAAATCTTGTCTTATTGGTGCTTGCTATTGAGTGTCAAGGGGCAGTGTGATGAGGTTGTACGGTGGATGTTGCTCCACTTGTTTCTGGTGTCTCTGCTAATTGGTGACAAGCAAGCGGGCGAGTCTTCAGCTTTGTTGTCCTCCATGAAGGCAGTGCTTCTTACAGAGTCAGCAGACAGCCTTATCTTTGTTGGCCATTTTGGCAGGCACAGCTAAGAACCCAAAGGACCCAAGGGATTTCCATACAATACTAAATGCTTTGTAGCTGACATTATCTGATCAAGATGGCCTGTCTCTTAGCTTTCTGATTCTTTGGGCTTATAGGTTGATATGAAAATCTACCAAATTTCCACTGTGATCCAAAGGCCATGGAAAATAAGTTTTAGGTAGTGATTTTAATATTAATAGGTAAACTGTTCCACAGTTTTAGGGCCATTATAGCAAAAGCATGATCTTGTATCTAGTCCTTGGTACATCTAAAAGAAACTGATTTGAGGACCTAAGTGATTTAACTGGCTTGTGCCACTGCAAAAGTTCAGTAAGGCAAGAAGGGGCCAATCCATTAGTGCCTTTAAAACAATTACCGGTAACAGTAATTTAAAATCAATTCTAAAACAGCTGGAGAGCAGCTAGAGCAGGGGTTATGTGGTCATGTTTACAAGTACTTGTCAGCAGACGAGCAGTGGCGTTTTGAAAAAGTTTGAAATGTGAAAAGGAAAATGGATTACTTTAATTCAACAGTTAATAAGAGTTGGGATATTTATTTTTTTCACCATGTTGGAGCAAATATTTGAATTTCAACAAAAGTTATGGCTGTAGTCTCAACTTTTCTGACTTGGTGGGGCCAGACAGAAAACAATGCACGACCCTGATTTAAATAAACATGATTGCACTTCTGTGGTTGCCAGACTGGATGAGTAAAGAAGAGATGAGTGAGTATCCTTACAGTGCCTCAGTAAACACACCCATTCTTGTGGCTGCTACTCCCTTATGGCTCTAGACTTTTTCAGCCTGTTGCCGACATACAGTGTTTGCAGTCAGTTAGTTCTTTGCTATCTAGAGAATTAAAATTTTTTCTTTCGATCATTATGACAGTGGCCCTGTATTTTTTGATGTTTAAGCATTTGTTTGATTATCTAGCTTGCCTCAGCCCCCATCTACAAGTTTCTTGTGAGTACACCGACTGAGTGTTGCTTTTTAAACCCAGCTCAGGTGCTGACAGCATGTTTACTTCCACTTGGATATTTTGTAATCTCGTTGACTATCATTACTCCACTCAGAAATGTGAGATAAAGTGCCACTGGAGCACTAGAGAGCCTCATTCTCTGTATGTCCTGCCTTGGCCGTAGTGTGGTCCTGTGTACTGTTTACTCAGCTCTTTGATGCCTTTGCACTGAGCAACCACACGCTTTGTTCTTTCCTGGAAAAAGTCTCAAGCACAATTTGCTCTCGTTTTTCTGAAATCTGCTGTTTTCCTGCTGGATGTCATGACGAGTACAGATTCTTGGCTATTTGAACAGCAATCTGGTTAGTGAGGATTTGTGCTCAGATGACCTCTGTTGCATGAACAAAGAAAGGTACGGGGTGGGGCTGGAACTACAGATGCTGCCAGTAGCAATGCAATCAAGTGTCACATCTGTCCTCCCAGCGCCCACTGATGACCCCACATCACAGGTCTGGCAGCTGGAGGAAAACTAAACAAGAAGATTAATTCAGAAGTCGACATTTTTTGATATATTGAACCCCTAAAAATCTAATACAAGCCTAAAGATTTAATCTCATGTAAACCAGGAAAGGAGAGAAGAGATGAAGTTAGCCTCTGCCCTTTCCTGTCAGCTTTCTTGACAAACTAGTTAAACATTGTTGTAGTTATAATCACCGTGTCACTGGTGAAAGTAAAACTAAGAAACTGTGGTAAAGAGATTTGGCTATCACTTGTCTGCACCCATTTTAAGGCCTGGTTTACAGCATCCAATTAGAAACTGATGAAGGCTGCTCCTCTTGTGCTGCATTATCTTGTAGGTGGCACAAAGCAAAATGTTTGTTTGTTGTGGACTCGCTATCGGATGCAAAATTTGAACGGTTTTATTTTACATCTCATGGTGTATAAAAGTGTTTTGAACAAAAATGGAACATGACATTGGGGAACAGTGCAAACATTTCTGTGTTAGGACCTCCAAGGGTATAAAAGTTGATGGGGCATATTTTATAAATATATGAATCGCAAAGATTGAAGAAGATAGACTGATCAACACATCTGTGCTTCAGTTGGAAGCATGGAGCAAATGTGTCTGAAGTCATGCAGGATGTAAGTTTCTGTCACAGTTGATCGTGTGTGCTGAAATCTATGGTGCTCTTTGTTTGCACATGTTACGGCTGCAGGATATTGACACAACCATGTTAATTGTGCAGTTACTTTCAGTGGATTGACAATTTACATCTAAAATCCCTCTACTGAGACCACGGTATCAAGAGAGTGCGAGTTGGCGGGGAATTGATGCCTTGGTTGCTCTACTGGCCTGAATCCACCATAAACCTGACCTGAATGTGCAGCTAGAAGATGGAAGCAATTGTGACATCATATTAACTCTAATAAAATTCCTGCAGCTTTTTTTCATGTCTTTTTTTTGTTTGTTTCTAATCCCTTTGCAGGCCCAGGACAAAAGGAAAGCGCTGGAGGAGACCAAAGCCTACGCCACCCAGTCCCTGGCCAGTGTGGCCTACCAGATCAATGCCTTAGCCAACAATGTACTGCAGCTGCTGGACATCCAGGCCTCGCAGCTGCGACGCATGGAGTCCTCCATCAACCACATCTCGCAGGTCAGAAATACACAGACCATACAGCTGTGAACAGTGCCTCCCCACAGTTCCCTCTTCTCACTTTCACACTGACTCGGTTATTTTCTAGCACAGTATAAGGCTTTCTATAGTATGCATGTGCCTTTTATTGGTGCATGAGTCTTGTCCAAGTGTCTGACTGGCTGTGTGTTTGGCTGAAAGAGTGGTGTTCTGTTGGTCTTTCTGTTATACTCTCGTCTTCTGTCAATGTTTTTGTCATGTTTTAAATTAGCAGATATTAAGTTGACACTGTATATTTTATTATAAATATGTTAACATGATAGAGAATTTTGTCCATATTGCCAAACATTATATCTAGTAATTGCTATAACCAAAAAAGACCACTGACCAAAAAAGACAAGCATCATTTAGGTGATACTAATGTCACTGTGCGGCTTCCTCCTTTGGTCTCCATGACAACCCCCTGGATTAAGTCAGAAAAGCATATGGAAGCACTGAACTCCATGTTTAGCTTACTTTGTTTGACCTCTGTCTCATTGCTAGCGCTCGTCACTGTCTCTTGTGCGTGGGAAATTCCATACTTCCTATGCTATATTTAAGTCCATGCTTGTGTGCTTCGTGTAGCCATGGAGAAGTCTCCAAGATGAGCTAGATGGTGTCGTGTCAGGTCAGCTGATGGTCAACAAAGAAATGTTTTCCCTGTCCTTTGGTTTGAAGAGGTTTAGTTGGAGCAAAAACATATCATGTAGCTGAAAATCACCATGGTGGCTACTGATTCTTTTCCAACTTTCGTTACCTGTTTCTGGGAAATGTGAACAGTTTAGCTACTTTTCCTTGAATGCCCGATGTCTTTTCCATTCATGCAGTAATGAAGCAAAGCTTTGCTGTAATAATGAAGAAGCAGGGCTCTCGGCTTTGCAGGCTGTGGGTGTTTTTATTGCTCTCCATTGTTGTGTTCGGAGGTGGATCATTATCATGTTACCCTTGCTGCTCATGGATGTGAGGTTAGTGTTGGCCCTCAAGGCCAGTGGTGCATTCTGCTGAATGGGTAATGAAGAGGAAAGCCTCTAGCTCCTGAGGTCCATGTTGTTTTGATAGGTGAAAAGAGAGTCCATTTTCTTGGGGGCCAGTGTGATCTGATAACTCTATCCACACTAGAGAAATGCGCTGGCTATAATCAGCCAGTTTTTTTCCCTACTTATTTACACACTCTTAGAGGTAATCCTTTTCTTTGGCTTCTGTCTCTAGACTCGACCTGTATACGCCTGAAGCCTGAGATGCCTCAGGATGCGACTTTACATTAACAGGTCAGTGTGTGGCGAGTCATCGCCTGGTGTCAGGATCATTTCCTTTGGTCTGTCCGCAGTTCCATGGAGTTCACCCTGCTCAGGGTGTGTCTGCTTAGTGGTGGCATCTCCTTGGCTGAACTGATTCATTATGAGTTGGATGCCAAGTACTGTATCTGGTACTGTAATGCAGCACATCTCATCTTTAACCCTTGCTGGGCAAGGACATTTACTGGTGTTAAGGGGGTGAAAAAAAATAAAATGCAAAACTCGGCTTCTAATCATTAGACCATTTTGCTTATTAAAATGCACATCTGAAAGTTTTTATTATGAAGTGATTAATCCTTTTGTCTGTGGAGTGATTTCTATAGTCCTCAGAATGCGTGCTTTGTCCAACTAACAGTGCAAAGGGCAATATTCAGATTGCACTTATATAAACCAGAGAAAATGTGCAATTCATCACATGTTCAAAGCTGGAACCAGTCCAGTTTGGCATAATATATTACTTTATAGGAAGGACATTAAAAGTATCTAGTAATTTGCAACAGATAGTTTAAATGAATGTCCGGGTGCGGGAGGAACTGTCAGGTTTATCTTGATTATTTTCAGCACTAATCAAAATACCAGTTGAAATTGTTCAGCTTCTGTTAATACTAGCATTTTAAATCAAACCTAAGCAAATTTTCAATTAAAGTGCATCTAAACATCAGCTTGAACTGGATTTGATGTCTTGGTATGTAGCATTTTTACCTGAGTTGCTTATTGCCATTCGGTGGGTGTCGGCATCTTGTTTAGCCGCAAAACATGCATATATGCCTGTGTGTACTGTGTAATTAGATGCACAAATGTTTGTGTGTGTGCTGTCAGGTGTTTGCATGCGTGTCCCCTCCCCTGCTGCCATTGCCATTCACCATCCAGGGGCACTCTGCCGTGCTGAGACGGAAGGGCTGATGGGAGAATAGAGTAGCTTGCTGGGCTTCCACCTTGTGCTCCGTGTGAAGTGGCTGCTAAGAGGCTGTGAACAGGGAGCGCTTTGTCTGTCTGACAGAAGAAAATGCCTCACATTGAGAAGCTCTCTGTGATACCCAGAATAAAGAGGGAGAATCGTGTGTGTGTGTGTGTGTGTGTGTGTGTGTGTGTGTGTGGGATACCCACAAAAAAGAGGGAGAATCGGGTGTGTGTGTGTGTGTGTGTGTGTGTGTGTGTGTGTGTGTGGAAGACGTGTACACAGCCTGTGTTCAGTCTGCAGCCCCTGTGTCCTGGTTATGATTTATTTTCCACTTGACGCGGATTTGAAGTTTCAGGGCTCTTCACTCAGATCTGATCTATGCCACATAAATTTTTTTACAAAAATGAACCGAGGTATGCAGCTACATATGACTTGTATTCGAAAGTTCTGCTTGGACTTGGCAAATGACTTCATATAAAACAAAGCACATAGTGAAAAGTAGTTTTTAGTAGTTCAGTTTAACACAGAAATCAAAAACTGGGGCTGTGAATAACATAACACCCAAGTTGAACATATACCAGTTTCCAGGTATCTGCGTGAAGTTATGCTGTTGATTTGCAGAGTAGCCATCTTGGATTGTGAGGTCAGGGTTGGTGAAGTTCCTCTGAATTTCCAAGTCGTAAATCTGACTTCAGGGGCGTTTCAGTTGAAATTATCAACTGGGAACTTGAAAATTCTGACTTCCCAGTTCAAATATAAGGTACACAGCTAAAGAAAAAAACACTGTAATTTTATGCGTTCCTTCAAATACATCTAGCTTATACCTGGTACCTATATGATACACAATACCAGGGTCACATTTGGGATGAAAACGTACTGAAGAGTATTAGGGCCACTGCATACATTTTTTTTGAAATTCTGACTTGATTTTCAGAATTCTGACCTTAATCTCAGTTTAATCTTTAAAGTCAGAATTCTGAGAATCAAGTCAGAATTAAAAAAAAAATTTATGCAGTGGCCGTAATACTCTTCCGTAGAATTCTGAGAGAATAAAGTCAGAATTCTGAGAATAAAGTTAGAATAAAAAAAAAATTTATGCAGTGACCCTAATTAAAAAACATTTATGCAGTGGCCCTAATACCCTTCCGTAAAAACGAACCATCATAGTGCATTAGGTTATTTTTAATAATAGAATCAAAAACAATTTTGGTTTACCTTTGAACTAATTGTGCTCATGTACTAATTGACTTTTCAGCTCCATGATTAAAAATGCATTATAACCCCAGGGTAAGTCTTGATAGCTAGATATGAATACAAAACAATACTAAGTCATTACTGATGAACTGTGGCCTGAAAGTAGCTAGCGATGCATTCACACTCACCAACACCCACACACATGCTGAGCTATAGATGAAAACCTTTTGATGCTTTGTTTGTATATGGTCTCGCCCATTTTTAGTACAGCTTTCTTAAAAATGGTCACTTCTTTTAAATTAAATGTCCACTGGGACATTATTAGAATGAAAGAATTACATAATTTTCCACATTTATTTCATGACAGCATGTCAGTCAGAGGAAACGGTCTCAGGCAACAGTTGCGGGGAACTCGGAGCAAAACCTTAAGTCTGAGTCTTTGTAAGGAAATACAGCATCAGTGAAATAAAATAAAGTGCAAGAACCTGGACCACTTTTTTTTTTTTTACTTTACAAACTGTAAAATAACAGCTGACAGTGTGATGATACTACTGAACGGTTCTGCCAGTGCAGCTCCGCTCACCAGAATGACAGTGACTTACACTCTCACTTTGATCTGACCAAAGTGCTGGTTGAAACCAGTGAACAGTGTTGAAGCAGCACAGTGACGGGCTGGGCGCAGAAAACAGCTGACACACGTCTACTGCACACTCTGAGGTTGTTCCTGTAGCTGTGTGCTTCAATGAGATGCCGTTACTACAGTGAAACATGAGACATTTGTGTTCAAAGATGGATTCAGTTGGTATTTCAGCACAGCACACATTTGTTTTGGTTGTTTTTCATGTTCCAGTCCTCCATTCCTCAGATGCTGTTAGTTGTGTGCCGTTGCACACTGTTGCTTGTGTGTGTGATAAGAACACATTCATAAGATTTATGGTTTGTCTGTCTGCTGCAGCAGTGGCTTTTTGCCTCCCGTCGAGGACGAATGGCACTCATCCAAACAGGAAATCTCTCT